CTCCATGACGCATTAGGAGATTCACTCTGGAATGAATGGTATGGACATGCTGTAAGAGTTTGGAGGGGTTACTGAAATATTTAGGAAACCCTTAGGGACAACGTGGAACTTAAATTAGCTACACCTGGATGGGTAGTGATCAACCGAATAAAAGAAAGTTGGGGAGAATAAGTAGATGTTTCTGGGTGGAAAACCACAAAGAAAAGTTCAGAGGCAGGATAAGCACAGGTTGGTGCAACTTAGTGAAATCAGCAGAGCTGATGATAGAAGTTTATGTTGGAGAAAACAGAGGAATTAGGTGTAGGTTGTGAAACACATGCACACAGTTGAGAACCTTGAATACCAGGAAAGAAGTCACTGTAGTTCCTGAAGAAGGAGATGACGATGACAAAGGCGATGCTCCAGAAATATTTATTGGGTGGGGGTGTGGACATACAGTGGCATAAAACAATACTGGTGGTGGTAAGGCTGGTTGGGAAACTTTTTCTGTAATCCAGATGTTAGGTAATCAAAAATTTTCCCAGGGTGGTAGCAATGATAATGCAAAGAAAGGAGCTAATACGAGATGTATTACAATGCTCAGATTTAATTAGTTTTTGAGACTCACTAAATATCAGGGAATAAGAGGAAAGAAAAGTCAACAATGGTTTCAAAATTTTAAGCCAGAATAATTGAGTGAATAATGGCTATCCTTAGAATATATTGGTGAAAAGCAGGGAAAAAAGTTGTGGAGATTATAAAAATCACTTTTGAGGAATATATTTGCTTTATTTGAGGTCACTTTTTAAATGATGAGCAAATAGCAGTGTCCCAATAGGCATTTGGAAATGCTGTGTTTGAATTTGGTGAAAATTTTCAGATGACACTATAGCTTTGATCCTCAATATTTTGGTTAGAAGCAATAGTTAAAGCCACAAGAATAGAGAAATTCCCCAAGAGTGCATGTATGAAGAACACATCAGTGAGCCAGAGACGGCTTTCAGGAGCACTGAATGAGAAGATGTGAGCAGAGAGGCAGAAAGAAACCAGTATGTATGTGTGCGTGTAGAAGAGGGGAGACAGAGAGAAAGAGAGGAGAGACAGGCAGAAGGGAGAGAAAGAAAAGAGACTCTCACTGAACTCCGGGGAGGTGACTGGAAGGAGGAGGTGGGCATGAATAACTTGAGGACCTCAAAACTGGTCAGTTCCAGCCTTCTGTGGCACAATAAAAGCTTCTTGATAAAGGGCAAACTTTATCCTCTTTTGCAAGAAATAGACATCTTTCATTCGGGCAAAAAAGTTTTGAGATTATGTTTCTGCAAGAAGTTTAATCTGCGTCATCTATCTTTGATATTCTTTTTTAAAGCATCTGCTTCCCGAATGGTAAAAATTTGGAACTGCATCATACCTGTAAACTGATTTTTTCTTTTTTCTTTTTTTTTTTTTGCTTGAGGAAGATTGTCCCTGAGCTAACATCTGTGCCAGTCTTCCTCTACTTTTTGTATATGGGATGCTGCCACAGCATGGCTTGATGAGTGGTGTGTAGGTCCGCGCCAGGGTTTCGAACCCATGAACCTGGGGCCGCCAAAGCAGAGGGCCGAAACTTAACCACTATGCCATTGGGCTGGCCCCTAAACTGATTTTTTAATAATAAGTTCGGTCATAGTCATCTACATTTTATCTCTGTCACAAATTGTAAAGGAATGCATTAAGGGAGTTATTTCTTCCAAGTTTTCTTTTGACATGACAGGAGCAAAGAAGACATTTTTAATCAATTCAACTTCCCTACCAAAGGACGATATAGTCTGGTTAACTTTCATATCTGTCAGAGGCGTAGGGCTTTTCGGACGTAGGTAGAGGTTTACGAGCATAAAATTGAGAACAATTAGCACTCAAATTAATGTTACATGAGATTCAACATCTGGTAAGCGTGTCGTCATTTTGGGTCATAGACCACCTGCTAGGCTAAATGTTCATACAACTGCAATTTACTCTGCATACAAATCGAATAAAAATGATACTTTAAAAAATATTTTTTCTAAATTTAACGGTATGTACATAGGTGCCTCTCACATTTTAAAACTTGAACTATAAGTTAATAATGGATTAAACACTCACAGGATGAAACATATAGGATCAGAAGAAACAGAGGAAACATATTTGTGAATGATATTTTGTAATAAATTAGTTAAAGGGCTAACGTTAGTTTCTCTAGTCGATCAAATCACTGCCAGTATTACTATAGATCTCTTTATCCACCAAATATTTAAGAGCAAGAAGAGGTCATCTCAAAGTCCTTGTGTTATTTATATAATAGAGCCCTCAAACTTCTGGCTGCTTCCGGCAATAGAGCTGCACCAGAAAATGCCAAATCTCATGATGCCTCTTGTGACCCACTGCAAACACCAGCCCGTAGGCAGCATGCATTACTCTATTCAGAACTTCAGGCCTCGAGGGCCTCCAAGATCATTTCAGTGTAAGCCTTAAAGTCTTGGAGGTGTCCTGCAGGAAACCTCTGAGCTGAAAGCTTCAGGGTACTTGAGATCCAGAAGCTTCTATGCCAGCAAGCTAGATACACTCTGGGTCTGTGTGGAGGTCAAAGCAGCCATAAAGCCTATCCCCCTCCATTCAAGGGGCCTCTGGACATCCAGAGTTACCCAGAAAGCCAAGGACCTGTACCAGACTTTGAAAGACGACTCTTTCTTCACATGCCTACTGACCCCTTTTCACATGATTGGTTATTTGCAATTTCAGTAAAACTGGTAAATTCTGCCCTTATTCTACAGAGCCAGAGAGTGTTAGGTTGGAAGCAGAGGGTGTGTCTGTGATTGTCTGCCGCAGACTTCAAAAGCAAAGAAACTTCCTGCACTTTTGCAATTAAAATCCAAAAATCACATTTTTGCCTTGTTTATAGAAATGAGCCATCCTTTAAAAAGAGGCAGTTTGTATTCAAATACCAACTAAAGAAGCATCTAATTCTGCAGTCTGTGCGTTAAGGTGCCTAAAACTTACTCTATTAGTTCTTTGAACTCGTGGACCTTTGCTATACTTTTCTGGATAGAGAGTAGGAAGTGTTCTATCTAGAACTGTGTCTGTTAAAACCGTCTATTTATTGGCATTGCCCTGCTTCCATAACATGCTTCCCACTGATTTCAGAGGTCATGGCTAACCTGTCACGGAGATAGTTTTGCGAGTTAACTTTAGCTTTGATGGCCACTGCCTGGCTTTCAGTTCTGGCCGCTACATTTGCTCATGGTGTGACCTTGGGCAAGTTTGTAACCTCTTGAAGCTTCCATTTTGTCACCTGTAAGGCAGGCATAATAATATATGTGGGCATAATAACACGCCGTGCCTTACACAGTTGTTGAATGAAAAAGATAATCCCGAAAAAAGTGTATGGCACAGAAAAAGTGCCAGATAAACGTTAGCCCTCAATACTATTAAGGGCTTACTTGATCCTGGAGTCACCAAAGTAAGACTAAAGCATGTTCCATGTATTTTTGTTCTGTGTTTATGTTTAAAATATATTTTGTGATAGTTTCCTTTTTTCAGTAATCAACATACACATTAACTCTCTGACAGGCATGTGCTATTACTTAACTAAAATGTGTCAAATAGCTTACTGCAGTGTTTTCCAGACTATGCCTTGAACAACTGGGACCCCGTGGAGGGGTTCAAGGTGGCTACTGCGTGTGGGGTGTAGAGTGGGGTACAGTGATGAGGGTGATGCTCAGTGTTCCAGGCTTCAAACAGCTCTTCTTTCATCGGCTGTAAATGTGGGACTCCTCACTAAATTTTAGTTTGAAGAAAGGGTTCTGCAGCTTAAAGGGGAAAGGGGAAGTGGGGAGGGAGGCGTTAAAACACTTATGGTTTACTATGTCTATTATTTTTTAATGAAATATTACAGATAAATAGTGAAGGCTATATTTGAACATTACCATTTGAGATCTACTTCTATATTAAAAATTGATCTTTAACTAAACCACATCATTCCAGGATATTTGGAATTTCATCTTTTTCCATTTTTGGCAAACTTAAGTAGGAGGGCTCATTAAACCCTCTGTTCATCATCCTTCATTTGAGAAGCCTGTTACAATAAACCAAAGCATTATCACTCAGAATGGAAATGAATTAAGTGAATCAGGCTTCCACGCCCCCATGGCTGACATTTGTCCCTATCCCAAAAGTAATCCAGAGCCAACCGAGCCTCACGCGGAGTGCAGAGGTTCTCCCCGTGTCTCTGGAGTCAGGCTGCCTGGGTTTGACTCCTGCTTTGTCCGCTTACAGCCTGTGTTCTTGGGCAAGCCACTTCCCATCCCTGTACCGCCACTTCCTGTGCGTAAAATCGGAACAATAGCACCAATTTTGTAAGGTTATTGCAAGGATTTAAAAAGAATGCACCCAAAATACTTAGAAGAAGGGAAGATAGAAAATAAGTTCTCAGTAAACATTAGCTCTTAAACTTAACTAAGTTTGTTTTAGAACCATTTTCATGACACTTGAATTATCTCCACGTCTAATTACAAAAGTCAGTACACTTATCCTTCCAAACTTCCTTCTACAGCTATAGGAGGGATGTAACTAAATTAATTAGCATTATCTTTTAATTCTCACTTGGTAATCTTTCTCTCTGCTCGTCTGTAACATTATTTCCTTAAATCTTACACTATGAATGGAAAAATCAAATTCTATTGAAAAGAGTCACACAGAAAAATATTAAGCCTGAAAGCTGCTCTTGTATTTTCCATTATTTTGAATATGGGGAAAGAAGACTACATAAGCTAACTATATTTTATGGCTATGCTTTGTGTGTGTATACATTTCAAGAAAAATATAAATGATGAAACATAATTTTGATATATCATCAATTTGACCTTTTGATGTACATAATTTTACTTTGTATATTTAATGTTTGTATTTATCATTTTTTCCAAGAACAATTCCTGAAATCTATGGAAAAAATACCCTGAAAACAAGAAAATGGTAACAAACTCTTTAGTTCTTTTTCTGTCGTATTTCAGATCTTCAAGGACTCCATATGTTGCCTCAGACAGTTGACTGGTCATCTTTTCCTCCCCAACAATATCTCTTGACTCTTGGATTCAAAAACAAAGAAGACGGGAAATTTCTGGAAAAAATATCAAGTAGGAAGCTGCCAATATTTACAGGTAAGTCACCTGGACTTATTATGTCTTTCAATACTGTTAGAAGGCAGCAATTGTGCATTATTCGTCTGTCTTATTCATCACAAAGCCTAGCATGTAGTAGGGCCTGGGCCCCAAAGAATATTTGTTGAGTTATAGTTAACTCCTTCCCATCTTTTTTGTGGGTTAGTTAACAATACCTGGAATCAGGTTCCCCCAAGACCACACAAAGTCCTAGAATACCCACCCCCCTCACTCCCACCACCTCACCCCAACCACAGTGTGATCAATGCCTAACCATAGGACACTGAAAGAATACAAGCTTTTGTCATCATCAACTAGCAAACGTAGGAGAAAATTATGCAACAAAACTATTATATGAAATCAAAAATATAGCCAATGACAACCTTAAGTCACCTCAGTTATCTGCCATTGTATTAATATCTGTTCTACTCTTTTCTTATGTAATTAGCCAAAAGCTTAGCTCTCCTGAAGAGTATTTATTAAATGGTGTTCAGTAATTCTAGTTGAAACTTTCAAAAGTCAAGAAAATATTCACACGGAGTTGAAATGTCAGACCTGTGGGCTGAATTCATGACCACGTTGAATTTATTCCTTCAGCTCTACTTACATAATTAAGGATTTGTGTTTTGTCTGGCACTGTATCCTCTGAGGCTTATCTCAACTTTGAGCTACATTCAAAGTCAGTGGGATCCGCACACTTGAATAACACCTGGGAGGAACAAGACAAGAATCAGACACATTTATGACAACATTTTTTTCACAACTCAGGAAAAACGTGCTCTGCAGAGGGAGGTGAATTGTTATAGGCTGTCTCTTAGATCTCTCAATCAGGGAACACAACAAAATGAATAAATGATAGTCCCTAAAGGGCAATGTCTCCTCTGCCTTTCTCCTCATAGATCTTTCATTGTTATACATGTGGGCTAGGGATGGACTAGTTTCTATACTAAAGATTTCAAATCTGTTAACATTGAGATCTGTTTATAGCTTGCTAAAGAAAGCACTTTGATATGGAAGTCTGGAAAAAATAGTAAGAAGTTTTATGTTACAATTTTTAGAACATAAAACTCCCTTCGGTCTACTGACCAGAGAAGACACAGTGAGACACATGGAGACAATGGGGAAGCGAATCTTGCCAATACTGGATTTTATTAGAAGCACCCAACTGAATGTAGGTATATGAGTTTTTATATTTGTCCAATGTACGAATTTTAGACAATTCTAGACGTATGGAAAGGTTATGGTGTATATATTGCAAATATTGGAAGATTTTAGAAACTATCAGTAAATCTCATTTGTAAAACCAAGCAAAGTTTAGCTAGTGATTTTATTCCTTTTATATTTTAAAATGTATTATAATGCTAAGCTTTGCAATTTCCAGCATTTATTATGCTAGTGTCTCTTTCAAGAGCCTTTTTGGGGGGTCTTCCTGATATCTAATTCCAGTTGGCAGTGAATTTCTCAATTCAAATCATCAATTAAATTTTAGCAAACACGATGTTTTGCCTATTTCATATATTGGGCTATTGCAAATAACCATCTCATTACCCACACAAGGACTCAGAGCTTTTCAAGCTAGTGCCTCCGTACCACACTGGTAAATTAGAAGCTACTCTAAACGTTGGCAATTGATCTTTGTAAACCCTTAAGGTAAATTATCTGATCCCTTTATCTAATCCAGGGAAAATATGTCCTTTCTACTTTTCAATCTTAAAAAGCCCAAAATAAGACCTGAATTATGCTGTGCTATTTCACAAAATTTAAGCCATTGTACCAAAAGTACATAAAGGGAACTTCTCATAAACAGGCTAAAAGGCTGCAGATTCCCCTCGTTTAATATTTTTCAAAAGCTCTGTAAGCTGGAAATTTTAAAAAATTTTCTTTTTGTGGCTTTTGTATTACATCATTGATTTGATGTTCTTACCTTACGAGGAGAACCAAGGGGGTCATCACAGACAGCGACTTAACATCTGCTCAGCAGTTTATCTGCTCAATAACATTATTCGGCATTTTAGAAAAGCTATAAAACCTCTCATCTATTTGCATGATCTGTAATTCTATGCATTACAAATACAAAAGCACATTTTTACTGATATTCCAACTACTTAGTTTCTCCCTCCCCACAACTGTGTTCTATTCAATTCTCCCTCCCATATTTTTATTAATAAGAAATCTATCTCTGGCTTAGTCATCTCAGACTGTCATAAGAAAATACCATAGACTGGATGGTTTAAACAACAGAAATTTATTTTAAGATCAGGGTGCCAGCATGGTCAGGTTCTGATGAAGGCCCTCTTCCTGGCTTCCCGTCAGCCAGCCACCCTTTTTCTGCGTCTTCACATGGCAGACAGCAAGCTCTCTGGTGTCTCTTCTTATAAGGGCACTAATCCCATCATAAGGGCCCCACCCTCATGACCTCATCTAACCCTAATTACCTCTCAAAGGCCCCAACTCCAAATTTCATCACCTTAGGGGTTAGGGCTTCGATACAGAAATTTTGGGTAGACACAAACATTCAGTTTATAGCAATCTCATTGGCTCTACTACAAATTTTGGGTCCTGTTCTCCAATTCAACTTCTATTGCAATCTCTTCCAGACACACACACACACACACACACACACACCCTCACCATTTTTCCCATCCTAATTAGAGGCCCACACATATCATCATTGTCACCTTGAAAGCAGTGGAAACGTTGCTAACAAGAACCGTCACTATGTAGCATTATTTCGTCTCAACTGCACACGGTTAGCCTAGCAGAGCCAGTGTGCTGGATGTTGTGCAGGTGACCTGGCTGTGACCTGGCTCCTTGGGGCAATACCTGCCATACCTAGTTACTTGTCAGGAAACCGACTACAACATCTCTTGCCAGCTCAGTCTCACAGTGTGTTGTGAATGAAGGTTGGGCCTCTCTAGGTATTGGACACTTTTCAAATGTTCTTAACTCGTTTCCTTCTCACCTTTCAAAGGGCATTCTAGCCACGTGGACATTTGTGCATGTATCTTTATGTGTGTATAAAAGAGATTTGAAAAACATAGGAAACAAAATTCTTAGCATATAGTCGACAACTCAATCCTCTTCAGAATGAGTCAGTACCCCTTTGCTAACTGCAAGGAATTTCATCAACTTTCCTATGTTTGCTTCTATGAGAAATAACAGTTTTTGGAAGATTATCTCAGAGTTTTAATGGAATTGAAGTGAGCAAGCCTGAAGGGACCACAGGTATATGCAAATATTGGCCTCTAGGTTTCTTATAATATGCCCAAACACAGCTTCATAAAGCAGAACTAAATAAAATTGGCTGCAAAGGTAACCTAGCTTAATGAAGCAAGTAATGAGTCAGTAAGTAGAAATCATTCCTACGTGGTACCATTAACTGTGACCGAAGCAGCCCTCAACAGTGTTTTTAAGATCCCCTGAGGTGCATTTTTTCTTGTCAGGTATGAAATGCTATCCACTCAAATGTTTAGACACTGCCTTGTCCTTATTAGCTGTTATCCTAGTTTGTGACATCTGTAGATGAAGACTTCTGTCCAAGGCTGTGCTCTGGCTGTGGAACCCTAGGGCAAGTCATTTAACCCCTGAGCTCTTTCTTTCCTATTTATAAGATAGGCTGATATCTGCCAGGCACACCTCACAGAGTTGTTGTGAGACCAAAAGAAGGTGATCCATGTTGAAGCACTTTGTAAAGTATTATGAATTTTAGAAGTTTTCATTATTTGAATCGGTTTTAGTTAGTTTGCTTTGACAAAACTACTGTTTCATAGACTTTTCTTCTCCATTATACAAACTGTGTTCTTTGAAATTACTTATTCTTCTAAAGTGAAGATTGTGCAAATGTCCTGTGGATTTCAAACTTTTTTCCTTAGATCACTGATGTGCTCAATGTCACAAATGTTAGGTAGCTTTGTGTCACAAAGACAGAATTAGAGACGTCATCTCCAGCCATGGAATAGATCTACTGCCCAGAGTAGAGCTTCCCTGGGAACATGAATGTTCACCTCTTGCCATGAGGTGGTAGACATAGTTGTGAAGGAGACAAAGGACGTTCTGGTATGAGGGAGGTTTCTATCTCTCAGGCAATGATTCTCTATAAACTCTGACACCAGTTTCTTATCTTTATAGATTCCTTTGCTAGGCATACGACACATGGCCAAACAAGAATGACTCTGGCATGTTAAGAGTTATAATCTAAAATATTCTACCATCTTCCTATCTTGTGGCTTTTAATCCCACTGAACATCAACCCCATTCAACCAGTATCTCTGCCCTAATGGTATTTTTCCTTCTCTGGATCTTTGTCCTAATTATTTCACATGCTGCCGGATGCCCCTATGCTTTTCCCTTCATTAACTTTATTGGCTGCTGTCAGTTTCAAACCTTGTGTACTGTGCTTCCTGGGCTAAATGTTAAAAAGTTAAAATAATAAACTCTCTTGCATGCATGAAGCCTCTTTCACAGGCTGACTTGCCAAAAGATGACCTAACTAACCATGTTTTTAATATCTCGTTAATTTTACTTTTAATTTCCTCCAAGTGAAGCATAAAAAATGTTTACATATGCGCATTTGAAATGAACAATAATATGTGTTCGTTACCCCTTTTTTTTTGCAATTAATGTTTCCACATGTTATGTCAAATGGAAATATATTCCAAATATTTGGGCTCTGCTTTTCAGCAGCATTATATAGTGCCTCTTATTTGCCAAATATTTATCCATACCCACTTTTGGATCTAGGTACTTCTCTGACTGAAGCCTGCATTTGAATTTGCTGTTTACCCAGCTTTCATTGTCCCTGTGTGAGGTTTCAGCTTCAGTCTTGGCTACTTTATTACACTCTCTTCCGCAGCTAAAGAGCCTTTGATCACTCCTGAAGACTCCTTGGGAGGGCTACTTCCCTTTAGATTTGGCACTTGCTGGCATTGCATGTTGAAGCTAATTCCTTCATTTTTCATTATTTCCTTTATTTTCTTAAAGCAACAGCATTAAAACCTTCCTGCTGGCGTTACCTATTGATTTCTATTTCTTTTTCACCTCGTCTCTCAAAAACCCCTATCTTGTATGGGTAAAATATTAATCTATAGCTTCCTAATAACCAAAAGTGCATTTGGCTTAGGGCAGTGGGAGGCTGGGTGACTATTAGCAGTCAACTCTCTTCTTTCCCTAACGTCTTATTTGGATGGAGCATTTCCTGTTTTGTTACGCATCTGACAGTCAAGCTAACAAAGCACCATTGCTTTCCACTATTTCTATTTTCCTGATGTTTTGGAAAATTACACTGATTATGTTCCTGAGCAGGCTGCCGTTGTTTCTGCTCCTCGGAGTCGAGTCACTACACCACTTTCCTACAACTAGCCCCATTGTTTATTTTAAAGAAGGACAAAGAAAGCAATTTTTCTTCAGAAAGAAAACTGTTTCTCCCGCAACCTGCTTTCCTCTATTTGACAGAACCCCATTGTTTAGCCACATCTTAACACTAAATGGGCAGGCTGGCTATTTCATCAGTTCAGAGAAGGGATCCCAAATTCACAATTTGCAAGCATCGCTCCTATAGGTTTATAGATTTTCAGATAAATGATTAATCAGAAGGAACAAATTAGCAGGGGCAGAGGGACATTAGTCAAATGGCATAGATAGGTATTAGAGAGAAATAAAGCAAATACAATGCAGCGGTGCTCAACCTTCCTTTATTACCACGATTCTAGAAATGTGCCAACTTCTAGAGGTCGGTGTCAATCAAAATATGAGTATGACATTTCAGAAAGAACAGCTTTCGAAATTCAAGTTGAAATTCACATGCTCTTTAGTAATGCTAGTTTCTAATAATTTTTCTCTTTGGAAGAGATTCTATTTTAAGACAAAAAAAAATGTCTGCCTTGTCTAATTTCTGGGGGGCTGGGAATCTGTTTTACAAGTATGCACAAACTAAAATAGTCCTTGCTCAGATACTAAGCTTTAAGGTAGTGGTTTGTTCTCCAATTTCTGTTTGAAATATTTGCATATTTTCAGGCACACCTAGCTAAAATCCATATTTCTAGGGCCACATATCAAGAGATTGTGATTCACTGAGTAAGGCCCAGTACTCTGCCTATTTAACAAACAAGCCTAGCGATTGTGGTGCCAGTGGTCCAGGAGGAACCCTGTCATAAAGGGATGCAGGTCATCCAGGCTTCCCTTTCTGAGCACCAGCATGTGGAATACAAGTGCCAAACTAAATCCTCCTGCGACTTCCCATTTCTCATCACACTCCAAATGTAGCAGAAAGCCAAGGCTTTTCTTTTAACTCTTAGATTCCACCTATGTCAAAAGTACTTTTTCCTCAATATAAATGTGAGAATTTTATGATAAACTTTGTCTCTCCTATGAAGCATTACAATGTGTATTAAACTTTTTTAGAGAAGGTAATGTCTCCCCTTGTGTGATTGGCAGCAAACGCATATGTGGGCCACCTTATTATAAGTGTGCTTCGTTTTGAGAAAGCCGAAAATACCAATAGATTCATGGGGATTGGTGGTCCTTACAAATGTGCACGATAGTTATTTCAAAATGGATCATGTCAGTTGCTGGGATGGTCCTAGAATGAAGTACTGTAATGATAGAATAAAACACTATAATGCCACCAGGAGGAGCCAGAGTCCAAAACCATCCAATGAGAACTAAAGATGAAGCAGAACTGGAGGTTTAATGTAAGCCATTGGGGTAAATGGACTTCAACTTGTATACAGCAGACAACTGTTAGCTCTTATGATGGCTTGGTGATGTGGATAAAGTCACCCCTTTAAACTAACACAGCTCTGTGGATCAGCACCGGGAGAGTGGAGCACAGGTTCAATTCCAGTCCCCTCTTTTCTCCTCAGCCCACCTTCCTTATGCAGGGCCCCCTGCATATCCTTCTCAATAGTGCTGTAAAGTGTTCCCTTTTATACAGATTCATCTATTTGAAAGAAGGGTACAGACAATTCTCTAAAATGGTGGAAGGAAACATTTATTTGTACTACATACCATTGCTTCAAAAGAGGTAAATACTTTATAACAAGCCCTGGTTTCATTCCCCAGGGAGAGGTCTTTTTCTGTGTTTTTTTCCTAAAACATTTCTTTTCCTGGGAGACTAGGGGAGTTTCTGCGCGTGCTCAGGTGTGGTGGAGAAGTTGCAGTACGCCAGCCTCCTCAGCCAGCTGCAGAGAGTAAAGGAGCAGTCCCAGGTGATCAATCAAGCCATGGCGGAGCTAGCCACCATACCCTACCTACAGGACATCAGTCAGCAGGAGGCGGAATTGGTAAGTAAGTGTTTTTCTTTGTTTAAGGCTTTCACAGGCCGTGATACAACAGAAGAGTGATATGGTCTGAAAAACATTGTGATAATAAATGTAGTCTGAGGACGAACTCCCCAACCCTCATGAAGCTTTCTAATGAAGAAACTAGAAAATGTAGAAAGGGGTGTGCGTCTGTTTTTTAATTGCTCACATTCACTAGCATCCATTTTTTATAGCAAGAACTTCATCATGTGTAACAACATCGAAAGAGGATGATTATTCTTATTGTGTTTAATTGTTTCACGTTACTTGAAACAAAAAGCTTCAAGTAAGGTGAAATTTTAATAAATTGTTTTGTAAACTCCAAGATACGTTAATATATGATTCTCTTCTATGACAAAGTGACAAGTCAAAAGAGTTAATTGCTGTTTAGAAAACCAAGCCTACAAAATAGTGTTTAGAGTTTCTTATTCACTTACAAGGTCACATATATGTTAGCGGTGTCAACACACACACACATTTGTACATTTAGATTAAAAAGTTGTTTTATTTGAGGGGAAAATATGCTTAGTCAAATGGCTGGTTTTTGAACTGAATTGACCAGTTAATTCAGAAAACACAGAGCCAGTCAAAAACTAGTTGAAAGACTATCTCACAGAAACAGTCTTCAAACAGATGTGTATATTATAATCATAATTAATATTAGAAATGATAGCACCTTGTTTGAAAATGAACAGTTGCAGGCCATTTGGGGAAAGGTAAAATTTACTCCACAGGGAGATGCCAGTGTATTATAGGACAGGGCTCTTTACATTGAGGCTTTCATTGAAAGTAGGAGAAACTAGTTATAGACCTGAATTGAATTCACAAAGCAAGGATGAGAGCAGCCCAAACCTAGCACCTGTAATTTTCAGATAACCAAAGGAACCCTCCCTCTTTGAACTTTTAAAGTTGTAATAGCCCATCAAGAAATGAACTATCAACATTCATGTTCATCTGAACCTGTAAAAGTGTAATGAATACATTCTCATATTCAAAGTAAGTGTATAAAATGGTCTGACTAGCCAAATAATAAAACTAGGCATACTAAAGATGAAAACTATGAAAGAAAGAAAGTCTATTAATCAAGGAATTACTAAGTCAAAACTGGCAATAATACTTTCTCAACTTTTGTGGTGTGTGCAGCAGAATGCCTTCCAAAAGGCTGCTTACTTATCCTGCCATTCATAAGGCATGCAGGAGTGCGGTACATGGAGCTTTCAAAGTGCATATGATAGCCAATTTTAGATGCTTAACGCTCCTCTGAGATAAGAAGAAGCAATGAAAATGTTAATTTAAGAAGCTGCCACAATGTTGATCCTGTCTTCCTGAAAAGCACATTCAAGATTTAAATGAAAAATACCGGGGAGTTTTCTGCACTTACGTCTTCTTAGCCACACATCTGTGGCTTTCTTTTTTCTGGAAATACTTATATTTCAAAATGTACACAAAGAGCACCAAACTAGCATTATTGACATCCCTCACGACCAGGTTACTGCAATATTCCACTATCCAAAACCTTAGAAAATAGGATTTCATGGGATATTTTCATAATTTATAAGCCTACTAGAAAAAAGTTTCAATGTATATGGATGTATACGTGCAGGTCAAATATTTAAAAATCAGGTCTCTTGTAAGATTTCATCACCTTAAGTAATAGTTTGTAGTTTCCAACTTCCAAGCACGGGTTAACCTAGAAAATAAATCCTCGTAATACTTTTTGTGGTGCTATATACACAATGACTGCTCAAGAGAAGAGTTTTGAGTGACTCAACTCTGCCTTCTTCCTTAAGCTCTGCAATATCTAAGATACAGAAAGATCGTCTAAGAGTTCATACTGTTTGATGACGCGGAACTGAGCTGGCATTTGTTCTTTTTTAGAGAACGTCCTTTTTTAGCTTTGAATATCACAGGCTTAATGTGGCTTCTTTACTTTGCGGCCACATATGTGTCATGTGTGCAGGATTGTCTTAAATTGGCATAGGGCAGTTTGGGGCAAAGGGTGGAATTTTAAAACTTGCCTTTGAATGGAACCTAAAAAGAAAGCTTGGTTATTTTGAAATTTTAGGAAAGAATAGTAAAAGAACTGAAATGAGCTAGTTCCTTTAAAAGGCAATAAAGCAGTACAATTTTCGTATTGTCCTCTAGTGAGCTTTTGCACGATGCCTGGAATTATGATACATTAGCCTCAGGAGGAAATACTAAAAGGCATTCATGTACTACATGCCATTTCCTGAGAGAATTAGCTAGCGCCTTCATTCTTTACAACCCAAATCTGTTTTTACAAAACATCAACACTTACTACATTAAAACCTATACATTTTCTACAGATTTTCAAGAAGTACCTTTTCATTGTTTCAGTATTTTACATCTGCAATAATACTCGGTAATGACTGAAGCAAAGATGAGGTGGCAGTGTTCATTGTCGCAAAGATGAGTAATAAAATCATCCGCGTACAAATGATTTTTTAATTAGGTTTTAATCTGTGTATTTAGAGAAGTTATTTCTGTGTGAATTCCACACTGATAATTTTTATCTTGGTGCCACAGCTGCAGTCACTAATGGCAGATGCTATGGACACCCTTGAAGGAAGAAGAACCGATAAAGAACGTGTGTGGAATACAATCCAAAAGGTAAAACTTTCAACTGAAGGAAAAAGATATATTGTTCTCAAAGAAAATGTCTATCTTGGGTCAAATCTGTTTAGAAGATAAAGAGAAAAGAGAGTTCTTCAGTTCGTTTTATTGTATGTTTTCTTTTTTTAAATAAATGCAGCTCTCTCGACGGAAGTGTAACCAAAATCAAATATGCATTTATTTATTCTGTTCCCTCAGGACTGCTTCTTTTCCAACAGACTGTGGTCATATGCTTTCAAGAGTCTTCTTATCATACTCATTTTCGTATTCTATTTTTATTATCTGCTTCCTCATTATTGGTTATTATAGATTTTTTTAAAGCCCTTTTATCAGTGTTTTAGTCCGCTCCCCAATTCTTTCCCCCAAATTTTGTCACTTGAGGAATAATGGCTACATTTCAGAGAACTACAAAGAAACTAGCACATTGATGTTTTGGGTGGAGGAGTGACATACTGGTGGTTAGAAGTAGAAGAACATCCCCTCACTGGCTACTGGAGTTTAAATAAAACAGCACTGAGAGGCGCTTGGCTCAGAAGACTTGTGTGATACTGCAGGGCCCTCTGGCAACATAGCAGGGAGTAATGTCAGGTGTCCAGTCCAGCTCAAGGTAATAAGTTCTTGTCAATCTACTCCGCACTCCGTCTCCTCCAATCACTCTAAGAACCCACAAAGGGAGAACTTGTGTCATGGGATGTGAGAGGAGCAAACCAAAGAAACCTTTACTTTAAGAGGTAAGAGTCAGCTGTGAGGGATTCTGGTGCATCTGAGGAAATGTGTGTCTTCTGTAATAAATCCAGAGGCCCTATGATAAATTCATATTTATCATAGACATCAACTGAAGTCAGCAAGTATTTGTTGAATAGCCACTGTGCCTGAAAGAACACTAGGTGTTTAAGGATATTGTGCTGGGCAAGACAGACCCAGCCCTGCCTATATGGGCCGTACCATCTAAGAAAGAAGACAATCATCAAACAGTTACTTATAAATCTACTGAATATCACAGTAAAAAATTGGATGTTCGATGATCTATGGAAACAAATAGGGGAATACAATTTGGTCTGGGAGGTCAGAAAAGCCATTTCTGAGAAAATGATATTTATACCACATTTAAAGAATGTTAGTAGTTATCCAGGTGAAAAGGGAGATTTCGACACAGAGGGAACAGTTTGTACCAAGAACGCAAAGGAAGTAGAGCATATTCACAAACTGACAAAGGAGCAAGGAACTTATTTCAAAATGCAGGGGAGAAGCAGAAGAAGTCAAACCACAGAAGGGCTTATCAATTACCTGGAGGATTTGGAGTGTTTCAGAACCTGATTTTCAGACCTCTCTAGGGCTGTAGTGGGGGAACCCATTGAGAGGCTACAGAAATGTGAGGAAGTCAGTGGTAAGGTGTTGGCTTGATCCACAGTGGAGGTCATACAGATGGAGAGAAGCAGACAGATATAAGAAATATTCAGGAAGCCAAATCTACAGACCTTGAGTTCACTGATTGTATATGGGAATTTAAAGAATAGAAAAAGTTAAGAGTGTTGCCCAGATATTGGGCTTGAGCCATTGGGCAAGGGATAGGGAGAGGTGGGCTGGTGCCATTTACTAAGGAAAGAAACACTGTCATAGGGACAGATTTTGGCTGAGAATATAAATTCCTTCAGAGTCCAGTTGAGAGACTGAGACCATGCCAGATATTTGAAAGGGAATTTAATATAAAGAATGGTTAACCAGATATGAAACTGTTAGTTAGGTAACTGAGAAAGCAAAGTCAAACAATGATTTATCACAGAGGAAGCAAAGGAAGCAGCAACCACCCCTTAGTGCTCAGGAATCAAAGAGAAGAGGTTGGAATTACTAAAACTTTAGAAACTTGGAGCAGGGACCCTGCTGGGCCAACACTCAGACCTCCCAGTAGGAGGCGCTGCTCAGCTGGTACTAGTGTCTCTGAGCCTGGAGGAGGGGTCCTGAAGGGCTGAGACCCAGACTTCTGAGGAGGTGGCACTACCCCACTGTGCTGAGCAGGGTGGGGGCGGTGAAAGCAGAGAAGAAGTGGTAATGAAGGTAATTCTGCAACTTTTGGAAAAACTAGATTCAACTGCTACTATAGAAAAGAATGTATGTTTCTATAGTGAAAGAGCTTTGCTGAAGAGATGCTCACAAGAACCCCAAGCAGAGAGGAAGTCAGCAGCAAGTAAATAGGAAGCAGCAAGTCCCTCCTTTCTCCTTTGTCATTGCAGTGTCCCTCTATCGCCCACTATTGACAGAAACCCACAGCTGGCAAAATAGAAATGGGGTTTGCAGTGTTCCAGCCCCAGCATCACAGAGTTAAGGTAGAAAATGGTGGTTTTGGAGTTGACAGACTAGAGACTAATAAATGGCACAAAAGTGCATTGAACTTAGGATGCTGGCAAGATATGAATTACAAGAGTCTGGAATTCTGGATAAAAGACTGCATGGAGGTAAAGACTTCTTAGTCATTGGCAAATTGAATATTAACTGAAATCACTTGAATGGGTGACATGGCAGAGAAAGAGCTTAGAATAAGAAGAGAGCCTTGAGGAGTACATTTCAAACTTAGGAGGAAAACTCTACAAAGGCAACTAAGAAGGAATGACAAGAGGAATTGGAACTAGAGGTAAACCAAGTCCAGTGCTGATGAGAGTCAAGCAATATAGTCAAATATCTCCGCTGGCTATAGAAAGAATTGTTTAGCACAGGGGTCAGTAAACTACAGCCCGCATGTCAAAGCCAGCCAACCACTAAAATAGGTTATTATTTACAACAATATGTAAATAAAGTTTATTGTAAACAGACATGCCATTCGTTTACATATTGTCTATGTCACCTTGACCAAGTTGAGTAGTTGCCACAGACCGTATAGCTCACAAAGCCTAAAATATTTACTATCTGGCCTTATACAGAAAGTTTGCTGTACCCTGGTTTACAGCATTATCTCTCCCAGAAATATTTACATTTGTACAGTAAATATTTGTATTTACAAGTCCAAGTGATAACAGAGAAACAATCCAATTATGAAATTCCAAGGACCAGCCAAAAAGATGGAAGAGAGATTGACATTTGTCTATATTTGTCCACATCTTGCAGACAACCACCAATTCCACATCACTCTAAGCTAGTGTTTTGATGCCCACGTTCACAGGAGCTCTCAGCCTGTGGCTTCCCACTTTGCCCCTATTGCAGTCATCCATCGCTGTGTTACAAATCACCCCAAATATAGTGGTTCAGAACAACAATTTGATATTCCCTCTCACAGTTGTATGGGTTGATCAGACTCAGCGAGGTGGTTCTTGCTCAGTGCCTCTCATGTAGTTCAATCAGATGGCTTCTGTGCATGGGGCTGGGTTATTTGAAGGCTAAAACGGACTGGACTCCAAGATGGCTTATTCACGTGGCTGACAGTTGACACCAGTCAGCTGAGACAGTTGACAGAAGTGCCTAAACGTGTCCTCTCTTTGTGAATTAGGCTGGGTTCCAAGAGGAAGTATTTCAAAGAAAGGAAGTAGAAACCATCAGTCTTCTTAAAAACCAGGCCCAGAACTAGCAGAGCAACTTCCACCATATTCTATTGGTCAAAGCAGTTACAAGCCGGCCCAGATTCACAGGGTTAAAGGGATAGACTCCACTTCTCCCTGGTGCAGGGTATGTGCATTCAGTGAGAAAATGACATGATAGCGCCCGTCTTGGAGACAAGCTCCAGCAGCAGACCTGTGCTTCCTTGTCCGGGCTGGCAAATATACCTGCAAGCAAGCAGGAGTCAGGAGGATAGTCAAGTCAAGGCCTTCGAGGCCTCCAAGGCCACTGAGATTGGAACACTGCAGAGCCACTCCAACCAATGACTGGGCATCTAGAACGACTCACTGGTGAGCAGCCAATCTCTCCAAATTAAAAGCCCTGATAATGATCTTAGCTTTCTAAATGGAAGCCCCTGAAAGGCCTTTAGGAAGATGTGGATGGGAAGGAACAGGGTGCCAAATTTTTCCCAAGGGCTTTTAATTTGGTTAATGTGACTCTACAAAGGATGATTGTATCACTTCCAGACAATTCCAGTAGCAAGTAGGTAATTTCCTTTTACTGCTACAGAGTTAATTTGCATGTGCAGAAAAAAAAAATAATTAAAAAACTAATCGTACAAGCTACACTGTGTTCTGAGCCGACTAGAAGTTGACATCCGTATCACCACCTCTGAGATCTGTTCTCTGTAATAGAAACAGCTGTCGGACCTGATGAAAACACTTGAAATTTTCATCTGAAGCCCCAGAATTCTAGCAGCACCTTCTATTCCACGTAGTGAAGGGGTCCGTCAGAAGCCCTATTACCAGCACAGTTTGCAGGGCTCCACTTTGTTATAGGTCTATAAAGAGCCTATCAAGATGAAATCTGATTTATGAGTGCTGACCTCCTATTTACGTTTTGTTGTCTTTGAGATTTCTCTAAGAACCCAGAAAGAGAAAGAATGAGACAATTAGGTTTTTTCCTCATTCACTAGAACTAAAATATATTCTTTATAGAGTTTTAGGCAAGTGGTCCTTGTTTTGGTTTGGCTTTACAGAGCGTTTCCTTTCCGGTAATTAACTCAAGAAAGATATATGTATGTTGGCTTAGCTGTGCACACACAAAAATAAGCAGATTATGTCCAAAAAAACGGTAAATTTTCTTGTGTTGGAAAGTCCCATGCCACAACAGGACTCTTTAAAGAAGAGCATCACACTTTGCTTAGTTTTAGTCTGTCGCAAAAATACTTGAGAAAACAGCCTTTTGAACATCACACGGGTCCTGCTGACACACTGCTCATTCACGCACTCCTCAAGCATTCACGCCACGTCCTCTTCGTCGGATACTGTTCCAGGCATTGGAGATCCAGCCATGAAAAAGCGATGCCCTCATGATGTTTGCGTTCTACTAGAGAGAAGGAGGCAGTAACCCACCTAAAGAAATATGGAATATGTGATAGGTAATAAGGGCCGTAGCGGGAAGAAGCAGGA